AAAAAAAAAAAAAAAAAAGAACTCCACAATTAAAAGGGAGACATTTCCAGTATCTGCCCTACTCACCTTTGGCAGAAGTCTAACAGCACGTTGACGAGAATGGTGCATGCCACCTCCAGGTTTCCACCACAGCCACCTGAGGCAGAGGGCGCAGGAAGGAAGTGCCCATGGATCGCCCACTGATGGAAGTCGAGTCTGCAACAGTGAGCCCTGAGTGAGTAGTTCTGAAAAACGATTTGTGGGCAGGGTCCTCTGTACCCTGGAAGGAAGCCCCACAAGTGGACACAGCACTCACGGCTGCGAGGACACAGCACTCACATCTGTGGGCAGGGACCCTGCTGTGGGAAAGCCCTCAGCTCATGTGGTCTCAGCAGCTGCCTCCAGCACTGGCCACAGCCCTCGCCAGGCACCCGCTGGGGGCTGTAGGATGGACAGGGCCATTGCACATGTATAGGCTGACACAATACTGCCATGTCTGAACCCCTCCAGGTGCCCAGAGTGAGGCACCTGGGGTGTGGGTGATGGGCAGCCCCAAGTGTAGAGCTGACAGCACAGGTGGAAAGGGCCACAGGCCACAGACTGAGTGACACAGACGGTCACAGGACCAGTCTATGCAGAAAGAGTCAAGCCCAAATGGAACACATCTTACAAGCACACAACCACAGCTAGGCCACCCTCGCTGTTCTGAATTTGCACAGAGCTCATCTGAGTGTTATTTGTGTAACTAAGAAAGGAGACCTAGGCACACATGCGAGCAGGGTGGCACAACACACACCCATTTCTCTTCCCTGGGGCACCCAGACCCCACCAGAGACAGGATGTGCAGCCAGCTTGGTGGAGGATGGGCAGCGCTCACTGGCCACACTCTGAGGTCCACCTTGCTCTTATCACCCCAACTCCTTCCCTCTCCCAGTTATGTCTGTTCCTGACACATTGGCCTGGCTCTCTACAGGCCTGGTGGTCTCTGTAGCAAGAGGGCATTGGGCACAGGGCAGCTATGCTGACCCCAGGGCTGGGTGAGCGAGCTCTCTCCACACCTGTGGGGACCACTCTTCCTCTCTGACCTCTGGCCTCAACCCAAGGGCCCTCTCGGCTGTCCACTCACATGCCCAGAGCAGCATATCTGACCCCTCCCATGTCGCAGCAACTGCCCAGGACCCACAGGAGCTCAGCCCTTCCACCACCTGGTTCTCGGTACCTGTGCTCCCTCCCTCTCTGTCCTGCCAGGCTCTCGCCATGCACAGCCCTGTCTGCGGTCTCCATCACCCACCCGACCTTCTATTTCCACGTGTCGGCCTGCAGGTTGCCAGGTCATACTGGGCAAGCAAGGGTAGGTGAGGTCCAATCCCTGATCTGCCACACAGGCAGCCTGGGCCCTTTCCCTCTGTTCCTCCAGTTTCTAGGACCTTCTAGAAGTGTCTGGCACACAGTAGGAACAAAATAAACTTTTCTTGAATAAAGGGAAAACAGCTGAAACTGTGCCTGAGGTTACACAGTTAAAATGAGGACTTAATGGCAAGTCACAGGACTTAAGACAATAGGCTTAAAGGAGGCTCCTTTAAACACCCACCTTTCTGTGTCGGAGAGAGTGTCAAGTTCAGGCTGAACTTCCAGTTCCAGCTGTAACCAGTCTCTGTAAGTTAACTGGGAGAAAAGGAGCAATTTAACAGCATGAGGGCAGCCAGACACAGGAGCCACAGGTCAGGGTCCTGAAGCAGCCATGCCATTTCCTCTCACAAGGTCTGTGTCCCTGTGTTATGACAAAATTCTAACCAAAAAGAGTCCCATAGGAAGGAAATTAACATTATTTTTCTCACAAATAATTTCTATTCTTATAGAACAATTTCTATTTTTATACCATCTTCCTAGTGAGAAACCACTCTAGCACAAAGTGTTAGTACTATAACACTTTTTTCCAAGCATAAAGGGGCCATTTTTATTAAATGCATTTCTCAGTAAGCCCTGAAAAATAGGGGACTCACGTACTGCTGACACTGATGCTGCTAATTAACTCGGAATATGGAGCTAACAGTGGTGCAGTTGTGCAGATGGATACTTGTGGACCCTCACTCTCCTCCTGTGGGTGGTAAGTGTGGTGACCGGGCTGCCACACGCCTTCCTCAAACCTGGTTACCGCGTTGTCTCAGGACTGCATACTTCTCGTTTGAAAACTCTTAGAACAGTTCCACAAGTCAATGTGGACTAGTCTCAAAACCTCACACTCTGCTCAGCGCCTATAGCTTAGTAGAGCTAAAAGGGCTATGGCCACATACACTGAAACTGGCAGGTTTGAGCCTGGCCAGGGCCTGCTAAACAACAATTGCAACCAAAAAAAAACACAGCCAGGCATTGTGGCGGGTGCCTGTAGGAGCACCCTTGGGAGTGCACCTACACCCTTGGGAGGCTGAGGCAAAAGAATTGCTTAAGCCCAAGAGTTTAAGGTTGCTGTTAGTTATGACACCATGGCACTCTACCAAGGGTGACATTGTGAGATTCTATCTCAAAAAACAAACAAACAAAAAACCCCCCTCACATTCTGTGAAAGGAAGAAGCACAGAAATACTGTGCACTGTGTTCTGTCTGGTGAGGGCGGCGGCCAGGCCACAGGGGCAGACACACCTGGGCAGGATGGGCCCTTACGCTGCCTCACTCACCCCTCCCTACTCTAAACATGTCTTACACTCATCCCTGCATGGCTGGCAGAGTTAACAATAAAAGAATGAAAAGATAAAATAAAACAATTTTGAGATTTTTTTTTCTTTTCTCTAAAAACCAAATGACCCGGCTCGGTGCCTGTGGCTCACCAGCCACATACATCTAAGGTGGTGGGTTCGAATCCAGCCCAGGCCTACCAAAACAACAATGACAGCTGCAACCAAAAAAAAAAAAAATAGCCGGGCGTTGTGGTGGGCGCCTATGGTCCCAGCTACATGGGAGGCAGAGGCAGGAGACTCACTTGAGCCCAGGAATTGGAGGTTGCTGTGAGCTGTGATGCCACAGTACTCTACCTAGGGGGATAGCTTCTTGAGGCTCTTGTCTCAAAAAAAAAAAAAAAACCGAATGACCCTGCAAACATCCCAGGAAATAATTAGTACCATGGGCACATTGGTAAGAGTGGTCCCAGGCAGGGCCAGCTTAGAGACCAAGTCCACTTGTGGAGCCTGGCAGACATGTTCTTAAAAGTTACTCTTAGGAGAAATCTGGTAAAGATAGCACAGTCTTTCTGTGCAATTTCTTACCGCACATAAAAGCCACAATTACGCCAACAAAGACTTCACTCTGGGGAGGTAGCTCACACAGACCTGGAGCCTGAGGGGAGTGAGGGGGATGGGTACCCACGTGCAAGGCCTTCTCCTTCAGCAAGTCCTGAAAGGTGCTTTGTCCCCACAGTGAGAGGGCGGCTCTCTGCCAATCTGCGGGAGGAGGGTGCAGGGGTCTCCAGGGGACACCAGCTGTGTCTTCACAGGAGGGAGGCTCTCGGGTCTCTGAGAACAGTCTGAACATGAGGAACTGAAACTGACATGGACAGGGACACAGTGACTTACTCTGTGCACAAGTTGTGAGTGAGAGGTTGAGATACTTCTCAGCCCTCAGACAGCCTCACCCAGTGCCATGAAGCTCTGCAGCAGCACTGCCTCCCTGGGGGTGAGCCAAGTGCTTTACCAATTACGTTATCAATTCCTCTGACTCCTAGGGAACTTAGACCTTCTTCCCATATTTACAGTGAGTGCTGGCTGCTCAAGGGACCATGGCCCCTGACCAGTGAAACCCCATGGGGAGAGTGTTGGACCTTCTTCTCCAGACCCAGGGGGGCTGCACCTGGTTCCGTCTGAATTTATCTGAATAGGACCTTGGACTGTATAGTTTCAAAAGTTTCTCAGCTGATTCTAATGTGAAGACTACAAATAAAAACCATTATTTTACATATAAGAGACATTCATTAAAATTCTGTAAAAGAATATCTCTGGGCTCGGCGCCTGTAGCTCAACCGGCTAAGGCGCCAGCCACGTACACCTGGGGTGGCGGGTTCGAATCCCCAGCCCGGACCCGCCGAACAACAATGACGGCTGCAACCAAAAAATGGCCGGGCGTTGTGGCGGGCGCCTGTGGTCC